AAAAAAAAAAAAAAAAAAAAAAAAAAAAAAAAAGCCGGGCTTGCCGCCGCCGCCCTCTCGGCCCTTCGAGTTTCCCGGGCTACCTCAGCTGTCCCCAGCTTCCTCTTCAGCTCGCGGCGCGAGCGGCTGCCAGGACCGCCTCAGGCGTGGCGGGCTGGGCCCGACACCCCAGCTGTGGGACCCCCGACCCCTCGGCCCCAATGCCTGGTCGAGCAGATCGGAGTGGGTGGCGGCGGTCGGAGCTGTGCCGGGGTCCCCCGGGGGCGAGCGCGACCGTGTTCCGTGGGCAAGCTGCAAGGACCGTGAGTTTGGTAAGTAACCTCTCGTTTTAGGTTTGCGGGGCGGCTGGGTGGGACCCTGCAGCCCTCCTCCTCCACGCCCGCCCTTGAACCCGGGTTTTGTTTCCTGGTGAAAAAGGAGGAAGCGCGTGTTAGGAAGGCAGGCCGTGAGACGAGCTCGGGATGCGGTCTTTAGAAGCACGTGGAACTCCTTACGGGGCTCTTTGGTGCACTGCGGCATGCTAGCCAGCTGAGTAACTGGCTTCATGTGAAGCTCCTTCAGTTTACTTTGTGGTGGAGAAGCCACGTTGTCCTTTTCCTTGTTCTTTAAGATAGTTGTGGCAGTGGTGTGTGCAGGTGTTGCTGAGAACTATATTAAGCGTGTTTTGGGCTTGATAACTTTGGCGAATCCTTAGTCCAATTGCTGACTAATAAAAGGACACTTTGGCCTTTACTTAGTGTTTTAAGTCCTTGGTTACCTAATCATCAAGCCACTTCTCAAAGATGTCTAGGATAAGGATAAATTTCTTCCGAACTTTCTACTATATGGCGAATTCATAATATCTTCCGACTGTTAGTATAAAGTACTAAATGAGGTCTAAAGAACTGAGTTGGTTGTTAAAGCTGTGCTTCTGTTGCCAAGCAACATCACCGTAAACAAGTTTAATTTCAACTAGAGCACAATTAAATGTGGCTTATTAATCTGAGTTCAGAGTTCTCTAGATTTATGCTTTTAGCCTATACGTGATAACATTTCGCATCTTTTGTATTTAGATTTGACTTCAAACCACTTTAATTAGGATTAGTAGAACACTGATTTTTTTTCGGTGTCACGTGACTCTTTGGAGCCTTGCAAATGGGTTTGAGTTGTTCTTTGGCTGTTACTTATTCCAGAGTATGCTGGGCATTTCTCTTGAGTATTTCTTTTCTAAGGAGATAAAGTATGCAGACTGCCTTTAGTAATATTCTTAAATAAAAAGATAACGGTTTAGAATTACATGCACCATTTGAGAGGTTGCAAGACGCGAGTTTTTAAGCCTTGAGATTACAGTAGGCTCACTCTCCATTTGTTGAACCCTTAATAATATAACCTGTAAGGTAAATTAAGTTTTTTTATTTAATTTACTTTTTAAAAGTGGTCTGTTTGGTGGGGAAAGTAATAAGAACCGGTCTAGCTTTGTAAGCTAGGCTTACTTTGAATTGGCAATTTCTCCACCTTAGCCTCCTGAGTTCTGGGGCCGAATGAAGACGAGGACATAACTGCTTCAAAGTATGGTTGAGGAGAAGTATCATTGTAGATATGAGGGAGAGAACAGCCAGAGGCGTCAAAGAAGGGTCCAGAGTGAACATGGCCAGTGCAGCAGACCCCGCCATGAGAAGGGAGAGCGAGAGGAAAGGGGTCCTGGAGTCGAGAGCAGAGCAAGAGATTGGGTAATCATGGGCCAGGGAAGCTGGGGGAAGGAATGAAGGTCATGAGCTGGAGAGGTTTAGGGTAGAGGGTGGGATTTGCCAGCCAGGATGACTGAACCAGGTTCTTGCTAGTAGGAACTGAGGGAGCTTAGAGGCTGGCATAGACCTTGTTATGCTAATGGGTACGACAGGCATGGGTACCATGCTTGTTCCATGTAATGGAACAGCCATATGCCTCCCCTCTTTTGCCAGAGATAAGAAGATTGGCCTCCTGGGCAGTGGTGGTGCACGCCTTTGATCCCCAGCACTTGGGAGGCAGAGGCAGGAGGATCTTTGTGAGTTTGAGGCCAGCCTGGTCTACAGACTAGTTTCACATAAATGCCAGAGTTTGGGAAAAGGAATTTCTTAGGACCTAACAGGGACTTCAGACCTGAATGGTGGGCTTAAATGATCTTTTTGTTGTTGTTTCTATATTGTTTTTCTTTGTTGTTTTAAATTGAAGCAGGGTTTTATCCTTTAGCTGAGGCTGATCTGGAACTCACTCTATATCTCTCATTAACTTCAAACACCTGGCATATCCTTTTGGCTCAGTCTCCCCAGTGTTGGGACTGCATGGATGAGCCACCATGCCTATAAACTGACAGATGATGTCTTTAAATTCAAACTATTAGTTTGATAGTTTGAATGTAATTGCCCCCATAAGCGTGTAGGGGGTGTGGCTCTGTTGGAGTAGGCATGGCCTTGGTGGAAGTGTGTTGCTGTGGGGGCGGGCTTTGTGGTTTCCTTTTCTCAAGCTTTGCTAAGGGTGACAGTCAGTCCACTTCCTGTTGCCTGCAAGATGTGGGACACTCAGCTCCTTCTCTAGCACAGTGTCTGCTTGCACACCGCCAAGTCCCACCATGATGATAATGGACAGAAACTCTGAAGTGTACGCCACCCCAATTAAATGTTTTCCTTTATAAGAGTTGCTGTGGTCATGGTGTCTCTTCACAGCAGTAGAAACTCTAAGACAATTAACGATAGGAATTGGAACCTCAGGATTATATACCCTTACTAAAATCTGTGTAGACTTCATTATAGTTGTCTTTTCCTGTGTCCTTCAAATGCTGATGTTGAAGTAATGAGCCATTGAGGAACTAGGCAAGATAAAAAAAAATAAAAAATGATTCATATTGTGTGATAAATACCTTAGTGTTGGGACTGTCCTAATTCAAGAAGTGTAGAAGAATAAATTCCTAAGAGAAAGATTAGTGATTTGTCATATATAATGTATTAGACCCAGTATGTACTTCTCTTACATTGTTCAGTCTATGTCTACTCTGGGAATATATTTGTAGAAGAAATGTCCTAATGGGACTGGAGAGATGGCTTAGCATGTAAGAGCAGTCTTAACTGCTCTTCCAGAGGACCCGGGTTCAATTTCCAGCACCCACATGGCAGCTTACAACTGTCTGCAGCTCCAATTCCAGGGGATCTGACACCAATGCACATTAAAAAAAAATGTCCTACCAACTGAATTCAGAATATACTCACGTCTTGCTGTGTGTGTTTGCATACATGTGGAGGCCAGCTAGAATTCACTGGTGCTGGAGTTATTTTCAGTGGTGAGCCCACCTATGTAGGTGCTGAGATCTCTGGTCCTCTGCAAGAGCAGCACACCCTCTTTAACTGCTGAGCCATTTCTCCAGGTCCTCCACACCACAGCTGAGTTCTTGACTCAAAATGACTTCTTCAGAATTGTTTGTCCTTGGCTTTCTGAGCTCATACTCATTATGGAAAAGGCTTCTTATCCAAACTTGTTTTCCTCCATTGTCCCTTAAACCTGCTTTCTGCTTCCAGTATCAGTCTTCTTTTCCTTTTACCTTGCCCCAGTTTCTTTCTTTAAAATAAAAATTTAAATTACACCTTTTCTTTAAGGTTCAATTTCACTGTGACATTTGAAATTCTATAGTATGTGTTTGTGAATCCTATTTATTTGATACTTGGACTTTGTGATATCTTTTTTTATTAATTTATAAAAGTTTCCACTTCCGTCCCTGCTCCCAATACCTTCCCATTCCCCCTACTCCCTCTCCTCCTCCCTCTCCAGCCCTAAGAGCAGTCAGTGTTTCCTGCCCTGTGGGAAGTTCAAGTTCCTCCCCCCCTCCCTCCAGGTTTAGGAAGGTGAGCATCCAAACTGACTAGGATCCCAAAAATCCAGAACGTGCAGAGGAAACAAGTCCCAGTGCCATTATCAATGGCTTCTCAGACAGTCCCCGTGCCAGCCACATTCAGAGAATCCGGCCACATTCAGAGAATCCGGTTTGATCACGTGCTCATTCAGTCCCAGTACAGCTGGCCTTGGTGAGCTCTCATTAGATCAGTCCCCTTGTATCAGTGGGTGAACACACTCCTCACAGTCCTGCCTTTCTTGTTCATGTTCTCCCTCCTTCTGCTCCTCATTTGGACCAGTGCTCCAATGTGGGTCTCTGTCTCAATCTCCATTCATCATCGGGTGAAGATTCCCTCTGATCCTGCCTTTCTTGCTCACGTTCTCCCTCCTTCTGCTTCTCATTTGGACCTAGGGAGTTAAGTCCAGTGTTCCAATGTGTCTCTGTCTCTATCTCCATCCATCGCCAGATGAAGGTTCTATGGTGATATGCAAAATATTCATCAGTATGGTTATGGGCCAAAGCCAGTTCAGGCACCCTCTCCTCTGCTGTCCAGGGAACAATCTGGGGATCTCTCCTTGGACCTGGGAACCCCTCTAGAATCAAGTTTCTTGTAAACCCTAAAATGGCTCCCTTAGTTGAGATATATACTTCGCTGCTCCCATATCCATCCTTCCTCCCTCCCCCCATCCCAATCCCCCAAGCTTTCCCCAATCCTCCTCTAATCCCTTCTCTCTAACCCTCTCCCCTTCCATCCACTCCCGCCCCCGTGCACCCAATGTTGCCTGGCACTCTTGTCTACTTCCAATATCCAGGAGGATAACTACATGATTTTCTTCAGGTTCACCTTCTTATTTAGCTTCTCTAGGATCACTAATAATAGGCGCAAAGACCTTTAATTATGACTAGAATCCACTTACGAGTGAGTACATACCGTATTCCTCTTTTTGGGTCTGAGTTACCTCACTCGGTAAAGTGTTTTCTATTTCCATCCATTTGCATGAACAATTCAAGATGCCATTGTTTTTTACAGCTGAGTAAAACTCTAATGTATATATGTTCCACACCTTCTTTAACCATTCTTCTATTGAGGGGCACCTAGGTTGTTTCTAGGTTCTAGCTATTACAAATAGTGCTGCTATGAACATAGTTGAACAAATGCTTTTGTGGTATGATAGGGCATCTCTTGGGTATATTCCCAAGAGTGGAATTGCTGGGTCCTGAGGGAGGTTGACTCCCAGTTTCCTGAGAAATCGCCACACTGATTTCCACAGTGGCTGCACAAGTTTGCATTCCCACCAACAATGGATGAGTATTCCCCTCACTCCACATCCTCTCCAGCATAGGTTATCATTGGTGTTTTTGAGTTTAGCTATTCTGACAGGTGTAAAATGGGATCTCATAGTTGTTTTGATTTGCATTTCCCTGATCGCTAAGGATGTTGAGCATGACCTTAAGTGTCTTTTGGCCATT